GATGAAGGCAGCAACTGCAAGAGCTAAAACTGTATTTTTCCTTCCTCCCAGGCAGCACAAGGGGAACAAATCAGATGCTGGAAGAAACCCTGATCCTCTTCTTCTGCAGTGCAGTTCCCTATCCTCCTGTGACTACAGCCTTATGTAAGGCGAGGAGACAGAAAGAAGATCTACTTTCCTCCTGCAATTCAAACACGTGCGTAAAAGTATGCAGGGGGAAGCAACCGATTCTCTGGTTCAAATTAGATATGTGCACCTGTCCACCAACCATCAGAAGTGAAAATAAAGTTAATGTGGACAAGCTTAATGCACTTGCTATTAGAATAACCGCAAGAGAGGCTGTGGAAAATAGAAAGCTTTCTTTTAAAATATTGGAAGTGAAAGGGAAACACGATTTTTCAAAGTGAGGTTTTGTAAAAACAAAAAAAAAAGAAACTTGCCTGACAACCAGACATTAAGAGAGAAAGCTGTAAGCAGATATCTCAAACTGGTCATGGGTGTGTGTGTGCGCATGTGTATGTGTGCATGTCTGTGCATGCATTTGTGAGTGTCATTAAGCGTGTGTGTGCATGCATGCATGCGTGTGAATGTGTGCGTGTGAGCATGTATGTGTGCATACATGCATGTGTGGAACTGTGTGCGAGTATATGCACACTGTGAGGTGTGCATCGTGTGAATGTGTGCGCATGTGTGTGCATGTGCAAATGTGTGTGTGTGTGTCTGTGTTTGTGTGTGTGTGTGAAGGGACAGATTGTGTAGGGCATTGTAGGCCATTGAAAGAATGTTGCCTTTTTCTGCGGGAGAAAGGAAGTCATGGGAAGGTTTAGCATGGCGGAGGGTGAGACATAACTCATTTCAATTGTGAAAGCACCCTTGGCTGCTGTGTTGAGAGAAGAGTGTACGGGAAAGAAGGAAGCAGGGAAATCTGTTAAGAGGCTACTGAAATAATCCCAGACAAAGATGATGATTTGCTTGGATCAGGGCAAGAGCAGTAGAGGTTGTACATCATGGTCTAATTCTGAATTTATTGTGAAGGTAGAATTAACATGATTTCTGATGCATTGGGTATGGGATATGAGAGGGAGGCAGTGAGAATGACTGTAAGATTTTTGGCCTGAGGAACTGGAAAAAAGAAGTTACCATTAGCTGAAGGGAAGGCTGCCAATGGAGCAGGTATGGAGGGAAGAGACTGACTCTATGGTTGGATGTGTTACATCTGAGATGCCTGTTTGACATATATGTTGAGATGTCAACTAAGCAGTTGGATATCTTAGTCTGGAGTTCCAAGAAGATGTCCAGGCAGGAGATTTGAATTTGGAAGATGCCAGTGAATTAATATTTAAAACCATGAAAGAGATAATCATGGGAGTGAGTGTAAGACTGAGAAATGAAGAAAATCAAGTACTGAGTCATGGGCCAATCCAATACTGAGAACCCAGAGAAAAGAAGGGAAACCAGAAAAGGACACAGAGAATGAGTGGCTAATGAAATTGGAGGCAAGCTAAGAGACTGTGGGGTTCTGGGAGCTGAGAGAAGAAAATATTTCAAGAAGGAGGTGGTGACCAAGTATATCAAATGTTGAGAATGGTTCATATAATATTAGGACTGAGATTTGAACAGTATATTTCATAAGGTGGAGTGTTGAGGGTGAAAACCAGATCTCAAGGGGTTTAATAGTGAATAACCCTGAAAAACACATTATTGTCGAGTTGATGTGACTCATAGCAGCCCTACAGGACACAGTAGAACTGCCCCATAGGGTTTCCAAGGAGTAGCTGGTGGATTCAAACTGCAGACTTTTTGGTTAGCAGCTGTAGTGAATTAGGGGAGAGAAACTGGAGTGTGCATGTACAAAACAACTCTTTTTAGGGGTTTTGCTGAAAGAAGGAACAGAAAAATGAATAGCCAAATGAAGGAGGGTAATGCAGGTGAATCTGGCCTCTTTTGCTTGGCGTGAAGTCTACTGTTTTTTGGTTTCATTGAGTTTCTCTGTGGTTGAGCTGGCGTGCCAGAGCACACCATGTACCCAAGAGTCATTCTTAGTACCCGGCTCAGTGATCCAAAGAGCCACGTGCCACACCACCTTCTCACGGGCTCGCTCTACACCTCAACGCTTGCTGCTCCTCTGAGAATGAACAATTTGATTAATAAGAAATACTTAATGAACCTGGGAAAAATGGGAAGAGTATGCAAAAACCTGGGAGAGAAAGGTGAGAAGATCAAGGAGAACTGGGTCTTAACAAAAGGAGAATAAACAGAATCAACTCACCTGCTTTCAAAATCTCTACGAAGATAATCTTTTCCTTTAACTTGGCTGCTTTCCAGCTCCCGAATCTCCTGTAGAAGAGTTCTCTTGTAGGTGTTTTTGACCCTGTGCCACATGGGAAAGACAAAAAGAATATAACGTGAGATTTACACATTGTGAAAGACTGATGCCCCCCCCCCTTTTAGATGACAGCTGCACATCCTTTGGTTAAAGGCGGTGTAATTAGATATAAAGTAGTCCTGGTGGCGCAGTGGTTAAGAGTTCAACTGCTAACCAAGAGTTTGGTGGTTTGAACCCATCAGCCGCTCCGCTGAAGAAAGATGTGGTAGTTTGCTTCCCTGAAGATTACAACCTTGGAGACACTATGGGGCAGTTCTACTCTGTCCTATAGAGTCGCTACGAGTTGGAATCACTTGACAGTGATGGGTTTGGTTTGGTTTGATGAGATATAAGATCACTGGGTGGCTCAAATGGTTTTTGATTGACTACTAGTCTAAAGGTTGGCAGTTCAAACCCACCCAGTGGCACCATGGAAGAAAGGCCTGGAAATTTGCTTCCGTAAAGATTACAACCAAGAAAATCCTGTGGAACAGTTCTACTCTGTAACACACGGGTTGCCATGAGTCAGAATGGACTTGACAGCAATAGGTTTGGTTTTTGTTTTTTTAATAAGATATAACGCAGCAGAGACTACCAGAAAGATGTTTCCAACCAAACCAAACCCACTGCCGTCGAGTTAATTCTGATTTATAGCGACCCATAGGATTTCCAAGGCTTTAATCTTTTCAGAAGCAGACTGCCACATCTTTCTCCCATGGAGCAGCCGGTAGGTTCCAACCACCGACCTTTTGGTTAGCAGTGAGCACTTAACCACTACACCACTAGGACTCGTAAAAAGAAGTTTACCTGTATTTTATTGAATATGCAAAGGTATTTGACTGTGTGGATCATAGCAAATTATGGATAACATTGTGAAGAATGGAAATTCCAGAATATTTAACTGTGCTCATGCAGAACCTATACATAGACCAAGAGGCAGTTGTTCGAACAGAACAAGGGGATACTGCGTGGTTTAAAATAAGGAAAGATGTGCGTCAGGGTTGTACCCTTTCACCATACTTATTAAATCTGTATGCTGGGCAAATAATCCTAGAAGCTGGACTATATGAAGAATAACACAGCATCAGGATTAGAGGAAATCTCGTTAACAACCTGCGATATGCAGGTCACACAACCTTGCTTGCTGAAAGTGAAGAGAACTTGAAGCACTTAGTGATAAAGATCAAAGACTACAGTCTTCAGTATGGATTACACCTAAACATAAAGAAAACAAAAGTCCTCACAACATCATGATAAATGGAGAAAATACTGAAGTTGTCAAGGATATCATTTTACTTGGATCCACATGCCCATGGAAGCAGCAGTCAAGAAATCAGATGATGTATTGTATTGGGCAAATCTCCTGCAAAGGATCTCTCTATAAAGTGTTAAAAACAAAGATGCCACCTTGAAGACTAAGGTACGACTGACCCAAGCCATGGTATTTTGAATCACCTCATATGCATGCGAAAGCTGGACAATGAATAAGGAGGACCGAAGAAGGATTGATGACTGAATTATGGTGTTGGTGAAGAATATTGAATATACCATGGACTGCCAGAAGAGTGAACAAATCTGTATTGAAACAAGTACAGCCATAATGCTCCTTAGAACCGAGCATGGTGAGACTTCATCTCATGTACTTTGGACAAGTTATCAGAAGGAACCAGTCCCTGGAGAAGGACATCATGCTTGGTAAAGAAGAGGGTCAGCAAAAAAGAGGGAGACCCTCAACGAGATGGATTGACACAGTGGCTGCAACAATGGGCTCAAACATAACGTTTGTGAGGATGATGCAGGACCGGGCAGTGTTTCATTCTGTTTTACACAGGATCACTCTGAGTCAGAACTGATTACATGGCACCGAACAACAACTGCCCCTGAAATCTTATGTCCACTTACAGTATAACATGAATAAATATAGATATTACAAACTTATTGGTACTGTTTCCCATCTCCCGTTGCTAATTTTGGTTGACAAGTTAAGATGAAGGTTTATTAAAGTCTCTGGTATGATAGTTCTTATTGCAGATGGAATTACTGAAAAGATCACATACACACAGACAGACAGAGAGAGAAACAGACAGAGAGAGGGATTTCAGGGATTTCTACCACTTTAATTCTTTATTTTCTGCTATAGTTGGGAAAAAAAATATTGGGATCGTATAATCTAATAGTCAAATATCCTGAGAGAACTATGTTGATTCTTACTTCAAATGTTGTGAAAAAGTGAAGAATTTTTTTTCTGATTTGAATATTTCTTCCTTTATTATGACTTTTTAATCTGTGATTCTCTGATATCAGATTCTGACTCCTGTAAGGTAGATGCAAGTTACATAAGTCACACTGCCAAAGAATGAAGAAATGGGCCTGTTTTCAGAAATAGTCATGAACTAGGTAATATCAGTACCAAATTTCATATACTCTCCCATGCATTTTGACTCCGTCTTTCTTCTCTAAACTGACTACTGGTAAATCCCCAGTGGCAAAAAAGCAGAAGGCATTTACTTCTTTAAAAAACGTCGTGGTATTAAGTATCATAAGGTGGCACTCAGTTTAATTTGAAAGACGTATAATTAGAAAAGCATAGTTAAGAATGAAAATATGTTTTTTAGTTACCACCTCATGTTTCAACTTACGATTTCCAAAGTAGATTTTGAATCAGGCAAGCAATGGGGACGATGAATAAACCCAGCCAGAAGTGTGGACAAACCAGGACCATACTGATCTGCAAAGCGACAGAAATGAACAGTATTTAAACAAGAATCTTTCAGTTTGTCAATATTGGGTACCAACGACAGCTGTCAGTTGTCTCCTATCCACCAAAACCTGGAGATGACAGAAAAATACAGTCACTCATATGAACATGGAACTACTAAATCAACATAGGTACATACAACCTAAATATAGCATTTCTAACTTAATTTAATAGTATGTTCTACAAATAACAAACCAAATAAATATTTTGACCATTTTATAATTTTTTAGTTTGATCTTTATTATTTCCTTTCTGCTTAGTTTCAGTTTCATTTGCTTTTCTTTCTTAATGTGGAAGCTGAGGCTGTTGATTTGGAAATTTTCTTCTTTTCAGATAAAGGTGTTCAGTGCTAAAAACAATTCCTTTGAATACTGCTTCAGCAGCATCCCCCAAATTTTGATATTTCATATTTTCATTTTCATTCAGTCCAGAATACTTTCTTCCTCTTTGATTCCTTTTTTGACCAATGGATTATTTAGAAGTGTCTTATTTAGTTCTCAGATATTTTGGGATTTCCCACTTGTTTTTCTGCTACTGATAATTTAATTTCATTGTGGACAAAGAAAATATTTTGCATGATTTGAATCCTTTTAAATTTATTGAGACTTTCTTTGATGTCCGAATATGGTCTGTCTTGGTCAAGGTTCCTTCTGCCCTTAGGGGAAAAAAAAAGTAAATTTTGCTGTTGTTAGGCAGAGTGTTTTATAAATGTCAAATTTGGTCAAATTGGTTGATACTGTGGTTTAAGTGTTACACATATTTACAAATTTTGGTCTACTTTTTCTATCAATTATTGAGAGAAGAGTTTGAAGTGTACAAGTAAAATTTTGGATTTGTCCATTTATTCCAGTATTTTCTATCAGATTTTGCTTCAGATATATTGAAGTTCTGTTGTTTGGTGTACAATCATTCAGGATTATTATGGTCCCTTGATAAATTGTCCCCCTTATCATTATGAAATGACTTTTTTCATCCCTGATGATAGTCTTTGCTCTTAAATCTCCTTTATCCAATATTAATGTAGTCACTCCAGCCTTCTTTTTACATTGTTTTACTTTTAAGCTATTTGTGTCTTTAAACTGAATGTAGTTTTCTGGTAGGCAGCAATCTGAGAATCTCTACCTTTTGATTTGAAGTTTAGATCTTTTAATGTATTTAATGATATGGTTGGATTTAATTGTACATTTTGCAATTTGTTTTCTAATTGTCCCATATATTCTTTTTTCTCCTTTTCCTCTGTTTAGCTTTGTCTTGGGTTAATTTAATTTTTTTATGAGTTTATCTCCTTTGTTGGCTTATTTGCCAACTCTTAAGTTATTCAGTGGTTGCTTTAGGACTAATAGGATATAGCTTTATTTTATCACAGTTTACCTCTAAGTATAAGAACCTTGCAGCATTACAATTTCCTTTCCCCCCGGTTTATGTGCTATTGTTGATTGTTGTCATACATTTTAATTCTGATTACAAATGTCCGACTTATGTACAGCCCATAGTTACAAATCAACCCCTGTAAAGCCTATCATATGAAAAATTTGAGGTACATACAATGGTTCGTAATAACAAACAGGTGCTACTTTGCAATGCACATCAAAATATTTTTATTATTAATACTGTATTATTATATTCAAGATGTTTTAGTGTATGTGGAAGTGTTTCCTTAATGTTTTTATGTTTTTATGCATAGAAAGGTACACTATATACTAAGACAAACATTTGACTGACTGACATTAGACAGGAACCATACCTAACTGCTCCAACTTACATACAAATTTGACTTAAAGACAGACCTAGGAATGGAAGTTGTTTGTAATCCAGGGACTGCCTATGTACATTTTAATTTTTGCTCCAAACAGTCAATCATATTTTAAAGAAATTTTAGTATTAACTTTTTTTTAAAAAAAGCCTTTTATGTTTGCCCTCATAGTTGCCATATCTGGTGCTCTTTTTATGTGTGTGTATATCAAGATTTCTATCTGGTATAATTTTTCTTCTGTCTGAAGGATTTCCTCTAACATTTCTTGCAGAAAAGACTGATGATTAAGATTTTCATGTATTTTATATTTCTGAAAAAAAAATTGTTTCACATTTGATTTTGAAAGATGTTTTTACAGGATATAAAATTCTAAGATGATTTTTTTTTCTTTCAGAGCTTTAAAGATGTTGTTCCACTGTTTTCTTACTTTCAGTGTTTCCAGTGAGAAGTCTGCTGTCATCTTGATTTTTTGTTCCTTTGTAATGTATCCTTTTCCTCTGGTTATTTATTTTTTATCAGCAATTTGATTATTATGTGTATCTGTGTCATTTTTTTTTTACAGTCTCATTAAGACATAGTTTACATACCATATAATTCACCCATATAAGGTGTACAATTTAATAGACTTTGGTATATTCAAAGAGTTGTGCAATCATCACCACAACTTAAGTTTAGAACATTTTTAGCACCCCAGAAAGAAATTCTGTAGACATTAGCACTCATTCACCATTACTGCTTCCCCATCCTACCTCAGACAATCATTCTGTCTCCAGACGTGTTTTCTAATTCTAGACATTTCACCTAAGTGGATTCATACAATACATGATCTTTGGTGACTGGTTTACTTTTTTCAGTTAGCATAATGTTTTCAAGGTTCATCCATGTTGTAGCATGTATGCCTTTTACTGATGAATAATATTCTATTGCATAAGTATACCACATTTTATTTATCTATGCATCAGTGAATGGACATTTGGGTTGTTTCCACTTCTGGCTATTATGAATAATGCTGCTATGAACATTGGTGTAAAATAATGAGGTCAAGAATATTTTCATGTGTTTAGTGATTATATATCATTTTTTGAGAAATGTCTATTTAAATCCTTTGTTCATCAGTTAATCAGGTCCTTTGTCTTTTTTTAATTGAGTTGAAGAGCTTGGCTACTATCCAAAAATCAGCAGTTCGAATCCACCAGCCACTCTTTGGAAACCCTATGGGGCAGTTCTACTCGTCCTGTAGGGTCACTATGAGTCAGAATCGACTCAACAGCCATGGGTTTGGTTTTGTTTTGGTTTAAGAGTTCTTTATATTCTGGATACAAGTCCCTTGTCAGCACATAATCTTCAAATATTTTATTCCATTTTGTGGGCTATATTTTCACTTGCTTGATAATGTTTTGGTGCCATATCTAAGAAGGTTTTGCTTAACCCAGGTTATAAAATTATACTCTGTGATAGTTAAGATTGTGTGTCAACTTAGCTAGGCCATGATTCTCAGTGTTTTGGCAGTTGTATAATGTTGTGATCACTTCCCTGTTGAAATCTGATATGTGATCACCACCATGATGGAATCTGCTGAGTGGTACCAGCGGGGGCGGGGCCTGTGTTGGCTCACCGCCCACTCAGCATTCATCTGTCTGCCCTCTGCTGCCTACTTCCTTCCTGTTCGCCTTGCCAAGGCTTTTGGCTTGTTCTGGATCCTGCAGCTACCTCTTGTCATCTGACCTCCGGTTCTTGGGACTTGAGCTAGCAGCTTACCTGCTGATCTTGGGATTCATTGATCTGCACAGCCTGTGAGAAAGTGTCCTAGTCTCTGAACTGCTGATCTTGGGTTTCCCAGCATCTACAGCTACATGAATCAGGAGAAGCCTTGCAGTCTTGCCTGCTGATCTTGGGATTCGTCAACCTTCACAGCCTGTGAGCAGGAGCCCTGTTCTCCGACCTTCCAACCTTTGGCTGTGTGAAGTGGGAGAGGCCTCTATCCTGATCCATGGACTTGGGATGTTCCAGCCTCTACAGTTGAGTGACCTGTTTCCTTGATATAAATCCGCCTCTCTCTCTATGTATATATATTTATACACTTTACTGGTTTTGCTTCCCTAGAGAACCCAGCCTAAGACATACTCCTATATTTCTTCTAAGAGATTTATTGTTATAGTGCTTACATTTAGTTCTATGATCCACTTTTAGCTACTTCTTCTGTTTAGTGTGGGGTAGGTGTCCAAATTGATTCTTAAATGTGAATATCTAGTTATTCCAGGACCATTTTTTGAAAATTCTTTCCCCATAGAATTGTCTTGGCACCTTGTCAAAAATCAACTGACCACAACAACAAAATAAATATGATTTAAAAAAAAAAATCAATTGACCAGAAATGTAAGGGTTATGTCCAACCTTTCATGTCTAATCCATTGATTTATATGCCTATCCTCGTGTCCATACCATGCTGCCTTGATTATTGTAGCTTTTTGAAAGTTTTGAAATCAGATAGTGTGAGTCTGCCAACTTGTTATTCATTTTCAAGATGGTTTTGGCTATTTGTATCCCTTGCATTTTCATATAAATTTTAGGATCAACTTGTCAGTTTCTGGGGGAAAAAAGCTGAGATTTTGAAAGGAATGTTACTGAGTTTGTATATGAATTTGAGAGTATTGCCGCTTTAACAGTGTTGTCATGGATTGAATTGTGTCCTCCAAAAAAGTGTCTGTCAACTTGGCTAGGTCGTGATTCCCAGTATTTTTTGGTTGTCTATCATTTTGTAATCTGATGTAATTTCCCTACTTGTTGTAAATCCTATCACTATGATGTAATAAGATGGATTAGCAGCAGTTATACTGATGAGATCTACAAGATTAGATACTGTCTTAAGCCAGTCTCTTTTGAGATATAAAAAGAGAAGCAAGCAGAGAGACATGGGAACTTCATACCACCAAGAAAGCAGTGCCAGAAGCAGAGTTCGTCCTTTGGACCTGAGGTTCCTGTGCTGAGATGCTCCCAGACCAAGAGAAGACTGATGACAAGTACCTTCCTCCAGAGCCAACAGAGAGAGAAAGCCTTCACCTGGAGCCAGTGCCCTAAATTCAGACTTCTAGCCTACTGGACTGTGAGAAAATAAACTTCTCTTTGTTAAAGCCATCCACTTGTAGTATTTCTGTTATAGTAGCACTAGATAACTAAGACAAATGTTAAGTCTTCTGATTCATGAATATGGGATGTTTTTCCATTCATTTCGATTTCTTCAATTTCTTTCAACAATATTTTGTAGTTTTCATGTACAGGTCTTACACTTCTTTTGTTAAATTTGTTCCCATGTATTTTATTCTTTTTGCTATTACAAATGAGATTCTTCATTTCATTTTCAGATTGTTCATTGCTAGTGTATAGAAATACAATTTAGTTCTGCATATTGATCTTATATGTTGACACACTGCTGAACTTGTTTATTACTTCTAATCATTAGTTAATTACTTATGAGTTTTTATATACAAAGTCACTGTTATCTGTGGATAAAGACAGTTTAAGTTCTCTCATTCCTATTTGAATTCATTTTATTTTATTTTATTGCCTATTTTCTCTGTCTAGAACCTCCAATAAAATTTTTAGTAGAACTGGTGAGGGTAGACATTCTTGTCTTTTTCCTGATCTTAGGTGGGAAGCACTCCATCTTTCTCTATTAGGCATGATGTTAACTATAGGGTTTTCAAGTTGAGGAGCTTACTTTTTATTCCTAGTTTGTTGAGATTTTTTTTTTTTTTTAAGAAGTGTGTTAGATTTTATCAAATGCTTTTTCTGCCTCTATTGAGATGATCATGTGGGCTTTTTCCTTTATTCCATTAATTCAGTGTGTTACCTCAATTGATTTTCAGATGTTAAACCAACTTGCATTCCTGGGATAAATACCACTTGGTCATGGTGTATGGTTGTGTGGTTTTATTCATGTTTTTGTGCTTGAGATTCATAGAGCTTCTTGGAAATGTCAAGCTTCATCAAATTTGGAAAATTTTAGGCAATCATATCTTTAAATATTTTTTCTGTCCCCACCTTTGTCTCCTTTTCTTTGTGTCTGTGGACACAATTATGCATACAAAAGGCTAATTAATCTTGTCACACAGCTTACTGATGCTGCTTTTTATTTGTTTACCTGTTTTACTTTTTTCTCTCTGTTTCTTTTTTTATTGTGGTGAAAATATACACACCAGTAAAACTTTCACATTTATAATACCATGCTATTGATTACACTTTTCATGTTGTGCCACCATTATCACTAATTATCCTTTTCCAAACTATTCCAATACCATTGTGGAATAAACTCAATGTCCTCCAAACAAAAGCTCCCCCTTTCCCCCTCCCTCCTACGCCTAGTAACCATTAATAATCTTTACTCTCCATATATATGCTTATTTCATATAAGTGAAATTATACAGTATTTGTCCTTTTGCAACTGACTTATTTCACTCAGTAAAATGTTTTCAAGGTTCATCCATGTTGTGGCATGCATCAGAAATTCATTTCTTCTCCTTGAATTTCTTGTGGGTATTTTCTGTTGTCCTATCTTCAGATTAACTTTTTTTTCTTTCTTCTGTAATTTCTAATCTTCTATTAATCTCTTGTGGGTCTATTACTGTTTGTTTTCAGTTGGTTTTCTAGGCTACCAGTTATTTTTAAAGTGTATTTCACAATTCTAACTGGATTTCTAACATTGTAAATATGAAAATTTTAGAGGTATTTGATAGTGTTTTCTTTCTCCCAAGAGTTTTAAGGATTTTTTTAAGCAGGCAGATAGAATATCAGGGAAAGACTTTGATTGTAACAAGGTGGTTTGAAGCTTCTTTAGTCGTGATTTGCTTTCCTTTTAATTTCAGCCATGGAATTGTTTCCCAGGGTGTTATATTTTCTCCTAATTTGAGGGTTTTACTTTTGGACATGACTTTTCTGGGGTCTCAAGAAAACCCTGGATCCTTGCCAAGGCCACTCTAACTTGGCAAAACTTGACTTCACCTTCTATCTCCCCAACATGGGGTGGGTGCTAAATATCTACTCAGTTCTCCGCCTGGCAGCTGTTTCTTGCTGAGTTTCTTAAAGTCTCACCTTCCACATGCAGTGTTTAAGAGTCAGTCCAGGAATTGAGGGGATTTTGTGTACTGACTTTGGATCTCACTTCTGTGACTCCCTCTTCTTGAGCACTTTGACCCTGAAGTTTTGACTATTTTAGCAGCCTAGGACTCTGAACTCTAACTCCTTGGTCCAGTAAAATCATTGCATTATTTTGGACTCTATGCCCTTGGACTGCAAGCTGAGAAATATCCTTAGGATGGATGTCCAGGATGGACATGGAGCTTTCTCTCTGTTGGTTTCTTGACAATGCCTTAAAACAGTTATATTCTTATATTTTGTTCAGTTTTTATTGCTGTTTTTGTCAGGTTATTCCAATACCAGCTGCTTGGTCATGGTTGAATCTCTCCCATCTCTACAGAGAAAGGCAGAGGGTGTAAAGGATTGATGTACTGTGAATAGACCACAGGGATAGAGCTAGGGAACTCTGGTCTTGCATTTCTTCATTCGTTAACTTGAACTGACTAAGGTTACTTCTAGTCCTAATACGGTGGAATTTTGTGATCCATTTTGTAAGTATTGAGGGTCTGATGCCCCACAATAGGCATACACAAAATAGAATTTATAAATCTTCAAATAAGTGAAAAAGCTAAAAAAAAATATAGCCTCTGAGGTTTAACATATGTGAAATAATAGTGTCTACGTAACTTTAAAATATTTAGAAACTTACAGAATGCATTACATATGGAGCACTTAGGAATGACTATTCTGGTTAGTTGGACATTTTAAATAATTTTTTTTTCTTATTTACCATGCATGGATCACTATGCATCAAATAATTTCAACACACAGCATATTACATGAAAAATATAATTACAACATTAGCTTTTTCAGATGCTTTGGAAATTACAGCTTTTATCAGTTATGCACAGAAGATACAAACTGTGGAAAGTCTAGCTAATACAGATAGTTTGAAGTAATGATATTTTAGATAAAACAATTTCTATTTTAACTAAAAGTTCAACCAGAAATTAGTTGGATTAGCAACTACTTCTCATTGCATTGCATTTTATCTTTCCTTCCCAAATTATTTTGAAAGTAGGTAACATCAGCTCTTACTGTTAAAAAAACGTAAGTTTTCATGAGGAATGAATAGCATACTCACCAATACAGTTAACAGAACTAACCTGTCCTCTCATATCTGGAGCGACAGGAATGGTGGGCCAGAAGTAAGAGTATATTGCAAAAAATGCCATCCAGATTATTATGCTTCCCCAAATTGCCAAATGACTGAACTGCAGAAAGAAGGGTATCATAGAAACACAGAAAAAATTATTTAACTCTATCAACTAACAAAATACATTCTGTCCAGGTCATATGTTCTTATGTGAAGATAATTGATAAGTTTTTAATTACTTGATAATTGAGACTTCCTTTCTAATATCATTCTCAGAATATTTGGCTTTGGACTCAAGGGACCATTCAAAGCATCTAAGTCAACAGTACTTTGGTCACTCCAAGCCAAGTGTCCTTCAGTGTCTTCAGTGAAAAATAGTCAACTCCCAATCAGAAGGGATTCACACAACTTTTGGGTTCTATAATGAGGTTATCTGCTTTTACCTACTTTCTTCAGGATAAAAAAAGTTGAACATAAATCATTAAGAGGGATAAGAATTTGACTCTATCATACTTGTTCTGTGGAAGTAGTTCTGGATTAATGACAGAAGTTCTGATTCTTAGATTGGTTGAAACTGGAGGATTAGCTGCATATCAATTATGTATGCAATTCTAGTAGAGACTGTTAGCTGGAAGATTAGTGTCCATATCTTGGTATGGGAACTTGGGATAAATTTTATGGTAGTAAATACTAAGGAGGTTAGACCTTTCTGTTTATGTGATCTGTTGCTTTGTACAGTTTGTGTTAACAGAGTAAGGGAAATGACTGGAAGACTTATGTTCTAAGCTTGACTAGGTGCACCACTCTCCTGGTCTCTAATTTACTGTCTACATACAATAAGGTGAGTAACTTGTTGTTATTATTAGTTGCCATCAAGTCAATTCCAAATCATGGTGATCCCATGTGTTACAGAGTAGAACTGAGCTCCATAGGGTTTTCTTGACTGTAATTGTAATGGAATCAGATCGCCAGGACTCTTCTTCTGCGGTACCACTGGGTGGGTTCAAACTGTCAGTCTTTAGGTTAGCAGTCAAGCATAAATTGTTTGCACTCCCCAGCTATACTAGATGATTTCCTAAGAGCCAAAGTGCTCTTATCCTATCAGATACTGCTCATTACTTAATCATGTCTCAACAAAAAATTGAGAAAAAATTTATTATTTCTCTAAAGTATTTGTTGATATCTGTTTATGAGTCATACATTCATTTAAATTATTGATAACTTCATTTAAAAAGACTTAAAATTCTGCCTAATTGACCAGAAGTTCTACTTCTAATAATATCATAAGGAATTATTACCGATATCTGTAAAGATGCAAGTACATGTATGTTCAAAACAGTACTGAATATATAGTTTATAACAACAAAAGTTAACACAATTATTCTAAAATAGTGTAAATAATAAACATCCATGTGATGGAATATTATAGTCATTAAATTAGGTATAAAAATTAAATATATGGAATAATGCTAAAGAGCTATTACTACATGGAAGACACAAGTTACAAAATAGTGGGTATGTTATGATCCTATCTTCATATAGTCGCTATGAGTCGGAATCGACTTGACGGCAGTGGGTTTTTTTTTGGGGGTTTTGTGAAAAACATATACACATACATAGAATAAAGACTGAGATAGCAGGAGCCAAAATGTCAGTTGTCATTGAGATTAAAAGGTATGGGCAATATGTATTTCCTTCTGTTTTGGTATTTGTTAAACTTTCTATAATGATTCTATACTTGGATATTAATAATAATAATGAATTAAGAGTCTCAGTTAGTGACATGCTAAATTGAACCTACTTCAAATGTAGAGCAGGAAAATGAATATTCTAAAGATGTGAGATGGTTAATATACCTTGGTGCAGTTTAAATCATCACTTGACTGTGCAAAACAAACAAAAAAGTAAAATATGGAAACTAGAAAAGCACTTATTATCTCCCTAAGAGTTAAAAGTACATCATAGTATACAAACAACTATACTGCATTGAGGAGAAATCCTAGAGAATACTTACTATGGTCCAAGACAGTGTCTCCAAACCAGCTTTCAGACAAACCGTAACAACTACATACTATGCAAGGTGAGATGGGAAGGAGAAAGAAATGAGAAAAATGTGTTAAAATTTTCTGTTACAATCCATGTCTCCCCATTCCCTTCCTGATCCTCCACCCCAGTTCTTCTCCATGTCTGTTGAACTCTGAGATCATCAGGTTGCTAAGTGTTTTGTACGTTTTTGTTCTGGGGAACATGCAGTGATTTTCAATAAATGCTGTATTGGGTACATTATGATCCTATCTTTATAGGGTCACTGAGTCGGAATCCACTTGATGGCAATGGGTCTTTTCTTGATTTTGTGAAAAACATATACACATACATAGAATAAATACTATTTTTAGTTGTGTTTGATAGACTATTTATGCCAAAAATTAGGTCCCCTAGTTTTGTCCCTTTAACTTATCACTAAAATCACATACTTATGTAATAAGCTCTCATATTTACCTCCTTTGTAAATAGCATAGAAGATTTGATTCTACCTAAAATCTGAGTGCTGTTGCGAAAAAACACAATTAGGCGAGGTAGAGTGAAACTATTATAAATCTAAGTGTTTTTAAGTTATTCTTGGTCTTTTGCATTTCTATACATATTTTAGAAAGAGCTCATCAAGTCTTTGGGGATATTGATTGAGATTAAAATAAATCTGTAAGTCAATTTGAGGAGAGTTGACTTTCTTGTAGTATTGAGTCATCCAGTCAATGAACATGGTATATTTCTCTATTTAAATGTTCTTAATGTGTCAAATAAAGTTTGATACTTTCTCTCGAAGAAGTCTTGAACATCATTTGTTAGAGTTACTTATATGTCCTTCATATGTTTGATGCCACTGTAAAATAATTTCTTTAAATTTTTTTGTTTTCTGAATAAATGTTACTAGTATATAGAAATAGAATTGATTTTAAAATATTGATCAGTATCCAGCAAACTGTCAAACTCTTTTATTAATTATAATATTTTTATCTGTAGTTTTTTTTGTATTTTCTATATATACACTCATATCATCTATGATTTAAAACAGATTTTTTCTTTTCCAGAGCTTATACTTCTTATTATTTCTTATCTTGCTGCACTGATTTGTAACTCCACTACAATATTGAACAGAGGTGGGGATATTGAGCATCCTTGTCTGATTCTCAGTCTCACAGAGAAAGCTTTCAATATTTTATTGAATTTGATTTTGATGCAGGTGGGTTCTTATGCAGCAACAGATAAATGCTGAAATGAGTGTTTAAAATTCTACTTTTGAAGCAGTCTTTGATTATGTCCACTTCTCTGTCTCCAGTATTGGCATTCTAGAAAGCCTTCATTATCTCATCTAAGCTCTTCCAAAACCCATTACCTTAAAGCCCCCAGCAACTGATCCTATTTATCTCTGCAAGTTCATCTTTGCCATTACCCTGAGCCTTCCTTGCATAGTGTGCATTGTGCTTTTTGTTCTGCTGGCTTTTTAAATTCCCTAAAAGCTCCAAGGTTGACTTCACCTTACTGGAGGTTTACTCCATTCTTCCATAAGACCTATCTTTCCTTCCAACTCACTAACTTTTAGAATCAACATGTCAAGACAGTTGGGTTAGTGATCTTCCCATGATGAGCCTGCCAACTCTCCTCGTGTCTCTCCTTTAACATCACATTTTGAGGTTTTTAGCATTGGCCTACTCCTCTTTTCTTCTTCAATTGCTATGGCGAATCACTTCGCTATTATTTTTTATTGTTGGTGTTACTATTTTTGGTTATTTTTTAAGTCTTGGGAGATTGAGATTCCATGAGATCAATTTACTCTGATGTTTTAACTAGGAATCTCATGCAAGTGTGTGGGTATATATGTAAGTATGTATTGTCCTTCTTGCTAGAATGTAATTGTTGTGTACATGACAAAGCTCATGTTAAGTGAAAAAACAAATGTAGGACAGTATCCTCCTACTTGTGGGAAAAAAAAGGCAAGGGTAACGTACGTTTGTGAATGCACTTCATACTTCTAGAAAAATATTTAAGAAACTACTACACGGCCACAATAGTTTCTTCTGGGGAGGAGTACTGGAGTGCAAGAAAGACTTAAAGTTCATGGGATACTGTCTTATAATACTTTATTTTTTTTAATTAAAAACTAGGAACATTGATTTAATTCAAATGAATGAGCTTACCGTATAAATAAAATTTCCAAGAAACAAATAGTCTGTAGTGTAACCATTTTGTAAGACCATATCTGAAAAGTGAAAAAGTCAATTTTAACTTTATAGAATCTGAAAGAGAGATTTGGAATTTACTTTTACCAAAGGAACCTATACTGTTCACCAAAAATGTATTTCTAAATATTTTATTGTGTTTTAGGTGAAAATATACACAGCAAATTAGGTTTCCATTTAACAATTTCTATACAAATTGTTCCCTGACATTGGTTACAATTTTTACCATGTGTCACCATTCTCATTATTTTCATTGTTTGTTCTGTTTTCCATTGATCTAGCTTCCCTGCCCCTCCTTGCCTTCTCATCTTTGCTTTTGGGTAAATATTGACTGCTTGGTCTCATGTAGTTGATTGTTTAAGCAAGCACATTAACCATGGGTGATATTGTTTATTTTATAAGCTAATCAATTATTTGGCTGAAAGATGATCTCTTTTCATTTGTTTGTTAGTTGCCTGAATGTCCTCTTTGGTGAAGTGTCTATTCATGTCCTTTGCCCATTTTTTGATTGGATTGTTTGTCTTTTTGTTGCTCAGTTATGGATGTTTTCTATATATTTTAGAGAGTAAACCATTATCAGATATGTCATTGCCAAAGATTTTCTTCCCAGTCTGTAGGTTCTCTTTTTACTCTTTTGGTAGTTTTTTGATGAGCATAAGTATTTAATTTTTAGGAGGTCCCACTTACCTACTTTATCTTCTGCTGTTCGTGCATTTTTAGTTGTTGTGTTTGATAGACTATTTATGCCAAAAATTAGGTTCCCTAGTTTTGTCCCTGTGTTATCTTCTAGGAACTTTATAATTTTAGCTTTAACATTTAGGTGGTTGATCCATTTTGAGTTAGTTTTTGTGTATGGTGTGAGGTATGGAGCCTGTTTCATTTTTCTGCAAATGGATATCCAGTTTTGCTAGCAGCATTTATTAGAGACTGTTTCTTCCCCCATTTAATGGACATCGACCCTTTGTCAAACATAGCTGCCTACAGACGCATAGAGTTACTTCTGGGTTCTGAATTCTATTCCATTGGTCTATGTGTCTATCATTGAACAAGTACTAGGCTGTTTTGTTTACTATGGCTATATAGTAAGTTTGAGATCGGGAAGTGTGAGGCTTCCTACTTTGTTCTTCTACTTCATCACCAAAGAAAACTTATCAATTGTTGACCATAGTTCTAAACTGCTCTGTCACTGACAATAAGGCTTCTTTTTCACAATTGTGACATTTTCCCCATCTCAACTCTCTCCAAAGATATATGAATCAACAAATAAATAAATTTCAAGAAGTACATGAATGTGATTATTAAACTTAGTTTCACATGAAACTAAACCATCTGACCATAAATTGAAAGTTTAAATAGTCCAGTGAGTGATGATACTAACAACACTGGGAATTAAGGACTTGCTTTTCACATTTATCACATTATTCCCTTTCCAGTATTACTAAAATAAGAGCCTAACAAATAATTGGAAATTATGATAGGATTTCATAATTCTCTTCAGCCATTGCTAAATCTGCTTTAAAACTTATGAAGTTCATCCTGTTTGAAGGGTCAATCGTATCTCAAGATTAGGAATGATTTCTTCAGATGTTCTTTTCAGTGTTTAAATTCTCAAATATAAATTGATGGTCTCTGGTCCTGGTTGATATACAAATTTTGGCATGCAAATTCCTGGCTCTAATACCAGTTCGGATAATACACTCATGTATGTGAAGATCATTTATTATTTTCACCTGAGAGAGTTACGCCTTATTAAAATCCTTAAGGCTTATTCCCTTTCCTAAATCCTAAATATACACACTGGTATATTTAGGGCATCTGACTGAAGGAAACTATAGGTAAATCTGTGGGTCAGGTTAGACCAGCTAGGAGAGTGACAATCATGGGTCTGGATTGTGTATACACGTAAACTTGATGAGATATATTGGAAGTGGGATGATTACATAAATGAGTATAACGTAATTAACTAAAAAGAGAAAGAAAGTTACTGCATAGGAAGGTAATGTTTGGTTATAGTGATCAGATGTATTCAAAAAGGAAAGAGAAAAATTACAAGCTCTGTGGGAAGGAGGGGAAACTTTCAGCAGAACATGGTGTAAAACAGAAATTCCATTCCTTCTGGACATCATACAAAATCAGCTATGGAAACAGAGAAAACCTCCATAAAATCCATGTTCAGGAAAAACCCACAAAACCCACTGCCATTGAGTTGATTCTGACTCATAGCAACCTATAGGACAGAGTAGAATTGCCCCATATGGTTTCCAAGGAGCGGCTGGTGGATTCGAACTGCTGACTTTTTGGTTAACAGCCGAACTCTTAACCACTGCACCACCAGGATTCCATGCTCAGGGAAACTAGGAGACCAATAATCCACAGATTCAGAAAGCTAATGAAGGATCCCAAGCAGAGAAGGTCAGCACAGAAACTGTCCGGGGTAAATAATAGTGAAAGCTCTGCGGTCTGAAGTAAATACCAAGCTGGCCACAGATCTCAGGAAACACCAGCAAAAGTACATTCCATGAAGGAATCTCTGCAAACAGCTGTGAAAAAAACAATCTAACTAATTCCATGAAGAATAACATAAAGGAAGCAGGTAAAGCATCAATAAAAAGAGGCTATAAGAAAAAAGGCAGAATGTTCTATTTCATGATTTGTGTGGTTATTATTCATTATACCATAAATTAATGTTTTAAGTATAAAATATGATTTAAAGTGGTTTAAAAGCACATGAGTGGAAAAGAACAATAAAACTTACCAAATGAAGAATACAAATGAAGATTTGTGTGGTTATTATTCATTATACCATAAATTCATGTTTTATGTATAAAACATGATTTAAAGTGGTTTAAAAGCACATGAGTGGAAAAGAGCAGTAAAACTTACCAAATGGGGAAATATGCAACAAAATCCTGTTATAACCAGCCAACAAAGAAATGAATGGAGAAGAAGCTATAGCAAAAAGACTTGTTTGTGACCATTTGATATATATACAACTGTAGAATTAAGACTAAAAATACAAGAACAAACATGAGGTTAGAATAACCAATCTTATTATATGCCCTGATAATGTAGAAATGATGCAATTTAAAAAATATGTAAGAGTACAGGTACAGGTGAAGTAGTTAGGAAGTAGCATAAGTCTGCAGATGGTCTCATCTATAATATCTGAGAGCCAATAAAGAACATTCAAAGGTAACAAATCAAGTAATGGAATTATAAGTATATTTAACAGTATAAAGGTATGCCATACACAAGATAATGAGATGCTGGAGAAAAGGGAAGGGAGAAGGAAGGAAGAGAAGTGTGATCATTTTTGTCATTATTCATATTAGGAAATTAATGGATTTGTCTAAAGAAATAGAGCATTGTTTATATAAACTTATAATAAAAATAGCCATAAGAACAATAATTCAAACCTTCTTGAATATCTGAATACACACAATAAAGCAAAGAAAAGCAATGACATAATTAAATGTTAGAAAAATATATTAAAATAAGAAATGCAAAATCATATGAGAAATCCCAAATGAAACCTATCTTTTAAAAATGAATTTCAGATAGTATGGCAAGCCAAACTCAGTCCTACTCTCTATATAAGAGACATCTAAAAAAAGTAATTTGGGAAGTTTGAAAAATAAAAGGATAGATAAAAAGATACATGGACATACAAATTAAAAGCAGGAGACATGACACTATTATTAGTTATATTAGTTAAGAGATATTAAAGTCAAAGAAATTAAACAAGACAAAGAAGGTCACTTTATAAAATCAAACGGTACAAGTTGCAATGAATATAAAACAGGAGTATTGGTAAAACAAATAAACATTTCTAAATCATAAATTGTGAAATAAATTTATAACTAAGGCAAACTAATATAATAGTAGAAGACTTTCTATGTTTTTAATAATTTATTTTATTTGTTGTTGAGAATATACACAGTAGAACATAACACCAATTCAACAGTTTCTACATGCACAATTCAGTGACACTGATTACATTCTTCAAGTTGTGCAACCATTCTCACCCTCTTTTTCTCCTAATTAACACAAACTCACTACCTCCTTAGCTTCCTATCTAACCTTTCGAGCTGCTGTTGTCAGTTTGATCCCATATAGACAGATCTTAAAAGAGCACAATGCTCAAGGCAGACATTCTTTACAAGTTAAGCTAAGCTATTGTTTGGTTTTAAGAAGGTTTTAGGAGGTATTTTTGCCTTAAGGTTTAAAGATTATCTCAGGGCATTAGTTTCAGGGGAGTAGCAGAAGACTTTCAATCACCTTTCTCGGTCCATGATAGGTCAAGTGACAAAAAGTAGGCAAGACCAAGATTTCTCCTTTCACCAATGAAGAAGTAATAGAATTTTCTCCCTTTCTATAACCAATTAGAAAACTAGGCAAAATATATGAATTTTTTTTTCAGGCATTAGATAACAAGCAGAACAGCATTGTGACTCCTGAGAGAAAGGCAACAAATAAGATGAGCTCTGGAGGTAATTTCTGGACTACTGTGTGGAGCACGGAAGCTGACAGAGAGAGCTTAATGCTTTTGTTGAGTTGATGAGACAGAGACTGGACTTTACAGGGCCAAAGTGGCAAGAATTTGAAGAGCATAATAATGGAAATTAGGAAGCTATGCAGGGAACGAGCTTCAGAAATTCATATAAGTGTCCTCATAAGTCATTACACACGTGTATTAAGAAATCCCATAAGGCCAGCAAAGAGCAGCTACCATGGAAAAACCAATTACCACAAAACTGAACACTGAACAATTGCCAGATCTAATATAAACTGGGAATTGATCAAATTCCCATGAACCAAAGTGAAGAGACCTTGCTCACTTTAATAGGGGAATTAAGTTAGTCCTAGAATAAAGGATACTCTAGACTGTAGGGTCGCTATAAGTTGGAATTGACTCAATGGCAATGGGTTTGGTTTTTTGGTTAGACTCAACTTTAAAAAGCTGAAAAACAAGTCATGAAAGGATTAAGCACTTCCATAGATAACTTGGCTGCCTGCCGAA